AACCCAACGTCCTCGGCATGCTGAGTCCGGCTCGCAGGAGACGAGGGAACCAGGAGATGACTAATTACCTCCCTCACCCCCACCTCAAGAAATATATTAGCACTGTACCGAACTGCCTGCTTTAGTCACCTATTTTCCATGTCACTGTAACGGCCTGAAGTGAATGACCGAAAACAGCTGTTTGCCAACACGACTTTTCAATCTTTAACGAAATGGTAATTTTTGCCGAACTGCGGCTTCATATGGTTGGCTGTGGACGGCAGAGTACTCATCGTGCGGGCAAAGCTACACAACAGTTTCACGGTCTCAACTAACGTGCAGATATAGCTGGCAGCTGGCTTGTTACGCAGGCTTTGCATTCTTTATGTACATCGACGTCTTATAGAGAAATATCGCCAAAAAGTTTGTCAATAGAAATGTACTAAAATGGCATAATAACTGAAATGTGCATTTTTTTCTGTAATTTTTATATTCTCTTTTATTCAATTGACATACTCAATTTTTAAAGGTGTACTCCCTAATCTTCGTCAATTAATTTTACCTGAACCGAATGTACCATACTATTGCAAAGCCCGTGAGTACGAGTGAGAGCTAGCGAGCCGAGAATGACCGAGAAGCAGGAGACAGTTTTCATTCCTGACATTTGTTTTGGTGTATTTGTACTACGTCTTCGAAGTAAGAATGGTTTATTGGAAACAACAGAGATACAAGTAGTTGTTATCCTTAGATAGACAACTCAGAACCGAATAGACACCGTAAACCGAATGACTTTAACCGCAGAACTTTTAATAGGCTGTATGGCAGGCGGCAAACTGTCAATGTCCGTGAGGGTGCTTTGTGTTCATATCCTCTTGTACAATTTTGCGAACTGTTCATTGACAGCCCTCGGATAACGCTTGTGTAGTTTGAACCCCCTGGAATCCGAAAGAAGGTTAATTTTAGAAATGTTCTAGAAAATTGCATTGATGGTTGTTTAGCAACTTCGTTAGGCGAACGTCTTATACCACAGGTCTGCCCGTTTTTCGAGCCAAAATACCCTGAATGCTATCGAATTTCATGGACGCTTCGGTCAGTGCGTCGATAGTCGCTGGCACCTAAGAAGTTGATTGCAATCGGCATGTTCGGAAGGCTTGCGTTTTGGGAAGAGTATGATAGTTTCTTGAATACTGTGTACGTAAATGAAATGACGCTTTCGTCTTCTGTCACATTTCATCGTTGCATAATACCGCGCCCACTTCATCCTACTTAGTACCGAGACACGTGACTAAAAACTTTCGATGGTACAAAGGATAACGATTTTAGGGATATGAGGCTTGCATCTGCACTGGATGTAGTGTAAAATATCTTGGGATCCTCACACACGATCTGCACACAAACATCACGGAACCAAAATCAAGGCTAGTCGTCATCAAACATTCAGTAGGAAATGGGTCCCAAAACCATCTGGCATTTTTTGTCGTTTAACACAGGATTTTTCGTTAAAACCGCCATATCATAAGCTTATTACGACTGCGACGCTCGCGAGCAGACTATTAGATACCACCGAACCTATGTGTTGCCCACATAAAGTTTGTTTTCAGATGTCAAAAGTGCCCTCTCATGAGATTGATGTCATTGTACTTTCGAAGCAGGCTGTATGCGCCGGTTCATTCTTATAGGCTTCGCGGTTGTAGCAATTCTCAAATACACGTCGATTCTGAATATGAAATAATCTCGTTCCGCGTTGTGTGCAGTTCTCCCAGTAAATATTGCAGAGTATGGAAAACTCTGGAGTTAGCGGGGCCGGCAAAAATGAAACTACGAGCAGCACAAGGCTGGCTAGACATAAAAACCGACATTTAAGGCCACATCAAGTTTGCGAACGGAATTTAAAAATCGATGGAAACTAAAAAACGACCGGCGATAAATCGAGAAAGTACAGGAAAGACTGAACTGTCCATAAACGGGAAAATAGGCATGTAACAGGCTAGCCAGAAACAAGAACTTTATAAACTGATGGCAAAACATCAATATTAATAAAGTAGCAAAATATTATGGATGGGAACTCTTGAGTTCCCGCACATAGAGTATTATCTCGTTCATAGTGTATACTTCGGCGTGCTGCTTGAATCAACCAAGAAAACAAACAGCGTTGCACATGGTGGCTCTTAGTACCTTTTCTGTTGCCCCGTTTCATGGTTGTTATAACTGGGAAAATATATTTCAAACATCAATACTCACCGGAGGTTTGATGAACAGTGAACAATATTCGAGGTGTGGTTAAACCATCATAGTATATTGTTCGCAAAGTTATTTTGGTATAAGGTGATAGGAATATATACAAACAAAGAAAAAAATGGCTTTCAGACCCTCGTGGCCGCAACTAAGCATTGGCTGGGTAGCTGTGCTTCCAATTCAAAATTCGGCAGTAAATTAAGTTGACCGAACTTCTTTATTATCTGAGGCCGCGCTTGAACGTGTTTTTAAGTTTACATCTGCGCTGCCCATAAAGAACTCTGATTTTGGATTGTTCACTGCGATATCTCATTTGTCAGCCCATTAATGTACACCAAAATACCATTTTGCATATAAATGTGATTGCGTACTCGGCCTAAAATTATAGTGTGATCCGTCTTCTTTCGGTTTATTGATGTGAATTACGACCTAGTACAGACTTTTAAAACTCTGCTATGCACCGGCAGCTCAAGTGACACAGTCGCAAATGTGCACGTGAGAATTCGAGTGCCCCAGATAGAAGTAGATTACGTTTAGTTTTTTGGCCCGAAGAGTGGCAACGGATATTTTTAACCGACCGGCATGTGAAGGGTGTCTAAAAATGTGCCAGATAAGGTCGATAGCCAGAGAATCAAGTTTGATAAGTAGTCAGTAACGTTATTTTCGTGCAACTAGTGAAATTTTAGTTAAATCCGAATTCTTTATTTCTCACAGATGGTTTTTGACCTCAGCTCCTAAACTTCTACCGCGTTAGTTTTATCGATCTTGAAATTGATGCCTATCTTGTCCTTAAGCTTTAGTTTTTCGTCGTAACACGCCTTTTGCAGCGAGTAAACTGGATTTTTTGTCAAGAACTCCTTTCTTTATTCATGTCAATAAATGTGCTAATCCTGATAAGGTTTGTTTCTAGTCGAAACTTACCTGCATTTATTTTACTATTCACATACTCTGTTGTCTGATCTTTTAGAGCGTAATTTGAGACATCGACACTGGTCACTCTTTGTTCAGTCGACGTTGAACGTTGGCTAATCTGCCGGTTTTCGGAAAGGATTACAATCTAACGCCATTTTCTCAGCGAAATGGATTGTCTGCTTTCGGAGTATATTTCCCTTCCCCTGAATTCTCCTGAAGCGGTAGCCAAAATAGACAGCTTTGCTGAGTACGTTATATCTTCTTCCGCTAACATTTCCAGAAAAATAAATGAATCCGGAAGTACGCTTTTCAAAGAAAGTTTGACACGTTACATTAGTCAACCGAATGGCTTGCTAGATCGGTTAAGTAATGCCGACGGTCCAGAAACCATTTCACTGACCAAGTTCCTTGGAGGTTTTCTAAAAAATAGGTAAGCTGAATTTCTGACTTATTAGCAGTGGTTCACAACTATCGCCTGAGGACGTTTGCGCAGTCGCAAAATGCCTTCTTTTCCGCATGGAAGTCTGTGCTGACAAAGCGTTCTGGAAGCTGTGCTTAGAATCCTTCTTGAACGAGTTACGCCCGGACCTCATCTGTAATGCCGATCTCTTGGTAAGAATTCGTATTGTGTGCCTATCGTTTTTAGCCTGAAGCCCTCCTTAAATCGAACCCCATCAAGAAGAAAGTGCACGAATGTCTAACAGATGATCACATACGATCTGAGTTTATAGTTCTCCTGCAAAAGTGAGTTCACCGCATTTCCCTCATAATTTGTAAAGGTCAGCCTGCGTTTTGTTATCTTGGAAGTACTCTTGTCTCTACTTCACGGCCTAATTACTGCCGTTTGGGACGTTTTTTTGAATTGTGGGTTTTAATTTTATCAATAGATTGGAATACTTGCCACGAGGACTCAATATTACTGCGACTTGTGGCGCTCAAATAAACCTGACGCGCTAAAAAGTGGTGGCTTAGATGGCAGCCAACTGATGGGATAACAATATACTGATGGTTATTAGTGTGTGTATGTTGGGTGATTGGCTGGAAAACTAAATCATACGGTTTATGCGCGGGAGTAATACTACGTTTGATCAAGACACCGCAGGCGTTATTAGGGATGCGCATCCATATAAATGACACATATTGGGGGGGGTGGTTGCACGCCTAGGCACAGGCTCACGTCCTACCAGCCACATCTGC